AGGGTGTGTGGCCTTATGACACACTTCCAGTGATGTCAGGGGGTGTGGCATATGCTAATGAGTTATGCTAATGAGTTCCCCTAGCTCTTTTTCTACGAAACGACCCCTGCCTTTCCCAAGCTTATATTATTCTCCTCTTCTCCATTTTAACTTCACAATAACCTCATTGAGTGACATGATGGCATGGAAGTTTAGGGGGTTTTCTGCAGTGTCAGCTAAGGTAGAAAAGCACCTCCTCCTGTGCCATGTTTTCTTGGTTCCAAGGGTCTGGAAAGTGGTACCATAGCCGATTACCCGGTTGCCAACTCTGGGTTGGAACATACCTATAGATTTGAGGGGTAGAGCCTGGGGAGGGCAGGGTTTGGGGTGGGGAGGGACCTCAGCAGGGTATAATGCTATAGAATCCACTGCCCAAAGCAGCCATTGTCTCCAGGAGAACTGATCTTGATCATCTGGACATCAGTTTTAATAGCTGGAGTTCTCCAGGTGCCGCCTGGAGGTTGGCCTATGTTAATTTGGGGCTATGCAGCCACAGCTAAGGCAGAAAAGCACCTCCTCCTATGCCATGTTTCCTGGGTTCCAAGGGTCTGGAAAGTGGTTCCATAGCCAATTACACGGTTGCCAACTCTGGGTTGGGAAATACCTGCAGATTTGAGGGGTACAGCCTGGGGAGGGCAGAATTTTGGTTGGGGAGGGACCTCAGCAGGGTATAATGCCATTCGTGCTCTGAAGCCCTGACTGCTACGTCACATTGGCTGTCATACAGGGGCCATCTCAGCAGGATATAAGGACACAGAGTCCACCATTTTCTCCAGGGGAACTGATCTCTGCCATCTGGAAAGCAGTTGTAATTCTGAGTGATCTTTAGCCCTCACCTGGAGATTTGCAACCATGGTTTCCCCCAACAGACACTAAGGGGAAATTTATTTTACCTCAGAACATCAACAGCAAACTGTTTAGAATGTTAGAGGGAAAGGCCAGTGAGGCCGCATATGGAAACGACCTTTGTGTTCTGAGGCAAAGGCGAATCAGGCCACATATGCAAATGACCTCTGTGTTCTGACTGGCTGCAGGGGGGGGGGGAGGAACAGCAAACTGTTTAGAATGTTGGAGGCAGGACTCAGGCAAAGCAGCCAATGGATAGGGAGACCCTCTGAATGACAGATCAGCGAGCGAACTGATTTTGGAGCGTGTTGGAATGTTCAGGGGAGTCCATGACCAAAATAGAATTATATATACCGGAGGATAAGTCAATGATATGTGTTTTATCAGAGCTGCTGGACTAACCCTTGTGACCCTAATCTAGTGAAAACACAGCTCAGTGACATCCCATTGAAATTAATTCACAAGCAACTTTTGTCCATTGGGCTGGATCCAGATTAAATGACAATTTCCACCAATTACAGCCATCCTCATATAATTCCTCAGGGTCCCCTGTCCCTCCAGAGCAGCATTTTGCAGAGTTCGGTGGACTGCAGTGGGAGGAGGCGGGCAGGAAAGTTCTCTTCTGCTGATGGAACGTTTAGTCTGGATCCAACCCATTGATCTCAATAGGCATGGCTATCTTTAATTGTCCAGCACACACTTCATTTAACCTAGAAGTGGTTAGAAGGACAAATGACAACATTAAACAGGACCCTGTTGCTTGTAGTATAGTTGGACTAAAAACAGAGCACCTGAATGCTTGAGGAGTCTTGAGCTGAGATCCCAGCACGCCAGACAAATTTTCGTAACAAGTATGAACTAAAGTGGGTGTGAGAAATCACAGGCCCTTGATGCTTCACCATACTGTGCAGGAAATTTAGACTTGTGCTATCTATTAAAACAAATGGAAGTTGACGGAGCTCGCACACCATGTACACTCTTTTGCAAAAAAATGAAAATGTCAACATACTGCCGACTCTCCTCCACTATTTGCCATGTAATTACATGGTAATTGATGCTCCTTAATAAAACATGGCTAATCCTCAAGTGTGTTCCTGCACTAAGGTACAATGCTAAAGTTCACATTTCTGATTTTAAGTTAGCCTCCGGGTCTGTTCCTAAATTAGCAGAGGGATTTTCTTCCTCCGTTATCTTGCTTGATCTTGGGTAGCAGTTGAGATTCTGTGTTCAGGAATGTTTGGGCTGAGCAAACAAATTAGCAGAGACCAGCTTCATTATGAATCCACAGAGGTATTTGTCACAGCTTATAATGGGAACAGTGTGCTTGCTGAAATGAATTCTGATCCCAGACCCTCACAACATGGGGCAAAAGATGCAATTTCAATGAGAGATGGAAGGCTACTAATTAAATCTCTGCTTGCTCTCTTCTTTTTTGGCTCAGCCTCGCCGCTTCCAAAGAAACTGGAGCAGCAGCCCGATCCGCTCCTAAACTCATGTCCCCTTCAGATTTTCTGGATAAACTGATGGGAAGGACGTCGGGATATGATGCCAGAATCAGGCCTAATTTTAAAGGTATGCTGCTGCCTTCTCTGGGGGTTTCGCCAACATTTTGTTTTAGAGCAGAGTGTGCTCACTGGGCTGATTTTAATCCAATTCTGTGTGTGGGTCTAGACTCCTAAAACAATTGCTTCCTGCTACTTGAAAGCTGCCATTTCTCCCCTGTCCCTCCTATAATTGTTTCCTATGAATGCACCTCATGACATGGGCCAGGCCTCTTCGTGTAGCGTTCTGAGGTGATAGAGTGGACTGTAGCAGTTCAATCTGCAAACAGAGGACATCTTTTTAAAACACTCCATATTTAGAGAAGAGACTGAATTTATACCCCACCCTTCACTGCCTGAAGGAGTCTCAGAGTGGCTTTACAATCTCCTTTCCTTTCCCTTCCCCACAACAGATACCCTGTGAGGTAGGTGGGGCTGAGAGAGCTCTCTTGAGTACTCCCCTTGAGAGAACAGCTCTGAAAGAACTTGTAACTGACCCAAGATCACACCAGCAGCTGCATGTGGAGGAGTGGGGAATCAAACCCGGTTGTCCCAGATTAGAGTCCATGTTCCTAGTAGAAAACTACCTATTCAAAGAGGGAGGTTCTAACCCAGCCCCCTGCTTACAAGGAGGGTTCATTTTGTTTTTGCAGAAGCATTTAAAAATGTGGTCTCCCACAGTCAATTATGCCACTTTAGGTTGTTACCCTCTCAATTCCACTCAATTCTGCTGCCTAAGCTTTGGTTTAAATATGACATTGTTGAGGCAAAGGACTTTCCCATATGGCTTACATTCATCCAGCATCTCATTTAAGCAGGGATGCTACCCACACAAAGCAGCTATGCTTGCTTTATCTGCTCACCAGCATGATATCCTCAAGGGCTATGGATCTCTGGCATGCAACCTAAGCATGTGTAAATGCTTTGCATGGGTCGCAACTGAGTTTAAAGGAGATGCAAAGTTGCATGGGCCTTAGTCTTTTCTTTGGAAGGGATGCACATAAAAGACATTCTTGAGAAACCGAAATGCTGCGAGTAGATGCTGCTTCTGAGAAATTGTCATGATCTATTTGATTTAATGAAACCCTCCACTGAATTATCTTGCTTGGGAAATGGATGCAGAAAGCCATTTAGATTCTATCCAGCACTGTATTCTTTCTTCAACAGCAGAATCTTTGAAAATGATTCACAATGTTGTAATAATTTAGGGAATGTGGTATTCTGTTCTTTGCCATTTCTTCTCAGTTTTCCAGCAATTTAATATACGAGATATTCATTAAACATACTGAACGATATGCTGACTGTCCTACCTAACAAATATTGATATACCTACTACTTTTGAATTTATCTTTCCATATTCAAAATGTAGTCATAATGCTTCAGAAAACAGCAGGTTTTGCAGATCGAATGCATGCTATATGAAAAAACTCACTTGCCTGTTTGTCAGCTTGCTACATGTCAGCCTCGTTTTCATTACCTTTTGGTTCTGCTAATATGTTAATTAAGGGCGGAATCCTGTGAAGCACAAGTGTAATGGCACTTGCAGACTTTCCCACTTTCCTCCTTCCTGCAACAATCCCCCAAGATGTCCAGAAAGCTGATGCTGGGAGTTGCAGGAACCATACAGACAAAAAGTCATATGAGTTGGGCTATGGGGGGACAGATCAGGCGCTGCACTTGCATCAGTGAAACTTCACATATCAATGAAGCTGCCACCTATGGAAGAGGAAGGGGAAGGCAATTTCACTTGGCTTCCTTCCACTCTGCAGCTACATGGACCATGTGGCTTTTTGGCCATGTGGTCTTGCAGGGTCCAGTATCAGTATTTTGGAAATCTCAGGAAACACTTGTACTTCAGAGGATCCAACTCAAATATTAGCAAATCATGTTTTCCATTCCTTATAAGATATTATATATTTCAATCATCTCCCTTATTATTATGGCACTTTAATTTAGTGCCCCACCTGTGTGTTACCATCCACTCTCTACTTCATTATTAATGTTTATAATACACAAATGAGATGTTTTGATTTCTTCAGCATCCACTGGGAATCAGATAGCTAAAAATTCACAGACTGTTCATGGATTTTTTTCTTTACTCAACACTTATCCCAATGTGACCCAAAGGCCCACAGCATCATGGCTGGTGCTTTATCATCCCAGACACTGCGGTGGCTAAGACACTGAACTGCAGGCTGTGAAAGGTCAGTAGTTCAGCAGTTCGAGACCTGGGTGCCGCATGATGGAGTGAGCTCCCGTCTCTAGTTCCAGCTCCTGCCAACCTAGCAGTTCGAAAGCAAGAGATAAATAGGTACCACTTCGGTGGGAAGGTAACAGCGTTCTGTGCACCTTGGTGTTTAGTCATGCCGGCCACATGACCACGGAAACGTCTTCGGACAGCGCTGGCTCTTCGGATTTGAAATGGAGATGAGCACCGCAACCCTAGAGTCGGATTCGACTGGCTTTCGAGCAAGGGAACCTTTACCTTTTTACCACTAACACACACACATTGCCTATCAAGAAATGTCACCCTAATGCTCCACAACCCCTCCTTTGGTGTTTGTATTAGTTCTGACAAAGGGAAAGAAAAGAGAAAAGGAAGAGGCAAGCATTGCATGGAATGAATATGCACAAATGTGCAATTACATGTACTTTTGGCAGCACTGCACATGAGTGCAGGTTACTCCAGAGTTGTGTCTGTGCTTTCTTGAGCAAAGGCAGCAGGCATAGGGGTAACATATGTATGTACATGTGGCTCTACAGATGTACATGCATCTAAGAAACCTGACTCATGTCATGGCCACCTTGAGTCTCAATGGAAAATGTGAATGACAAATAATGTAAATAAATAATAAATTGGAAAATGTACACATCACATGTGCTCAAAAACGTTGCTTTTGCACTTTCTGCATTTGCTGCAGAAGACACCAAGGCAATATCAGCATTTCCCAGCAGTCATAATATGAAGCTTTGCTCTTTGTTGCACTGGGAATGAGGGAAGAAACCCAACTGCTCATCTGAGCCGATTTCCTGTCACATAAAAGAGTCTGCTCCTTGATAAACATGCAGCAGCTTTATCAGCCTTGGGCTTGGCCAGAGCAATCACCCAGGCAAGGCTGGCCAAAATAGCTATTTTGTATGCGAGCACTTTGTACACAGCGTGAAAGCCATTCCGATTAAGTACCATATATGATAGGGGAAGCTGACTCTGGCTGATCTTGTGCCATCAGAATATAGCGACAGTTGTTGAGGTCAATCTGCCCCTTGAAAAGATCCCTGTGCAATCAGGTGTAAAATGATTCACACAAACAGATTTAGGACTTGAGGTTGGGGTTTTTTTATCATTCCCCTAGAAGCCTGACCAGAAAGAACATTTTCTATTTTTCTCATGACCGTTCCTCATCATCAAATGTAGCAGATCTGCAGTAATGAGCCTTGAGCCATCCAGCTTTTGAACATTCAGTTTCCCATAAAGACAAACAAAGTTGGATGTCCCAGACAGGAGCAGAGTTGAAGTCTCCCAGCTTTCCTGGAGCTATTTTGTAGTTTATAAGCAGAAACGATGTTGCTGTGACAAACAGGGATTCTTTCCCTGCATCCCACAGGCATTAAGTCTGCCCCCAAAAAACTTATAAACACATTTTCATCTACCTGCAACTCACTCACTCTCTCATTATTCATTCATTTATTTACTGTTCATTTAGTTATTTATAGTTTGCCTTTCTAGCCAAGACTCAAGGCATATTACACAGTAGAAGAAGAAGAAGAAGAGATTGGATTTATACCCCGCCCTTCACTACCCAAAGGTGTCTCAGAGCGGCTTACAAACTCCTTTCCCTTCCCCTCCCCACAACAGAGACCCTGTGAGGTAGGTGGGGCTGAGAGAGCTCTTGACAGAAACGGCTCTTTTTCAAGAACAGCTGTGCCAGAGTTATGGCTTGCCCAAGGTCATCCAGCCAGGTGCAAGTGGAGGAGTGGAGAAACAAACCCGGTTCTCCCAGATTAGAGTCCGCACACTTAACCACTACACCAAACTGGAAGAAAAAGAGAAGAAGAGATTGGATTTATGCCCCACCCTTCGCTACCCAAAGGAGTCTCAGAGCAGCTTACAAACTCCTTTCCCTTCCCCTCTCCACAACAGACACCCTGTGAGGTAGGTGGGGCTGAGAGAGCTCTGACAGAAAGTGCTCTTTTTCAAGAACAGCTCTTATCAGAACTACAGCTTGCCCAAGGTCATCCAGCCAGGTGCAAGTGGGAGAGTGGGGAATCAAACCCAGTTCTCCCAGATTAGAGTCCGCGCACTTCACCACTACACCAAACACATAAATGCAATCAATAGGATGGGACACTCAATAAACAGTGTAACAGGACTAGGATTGTGGGGAACTAAAATCCCTTTGGAGATATCTTGCTATAGCTAGAACCTAATCTTACCAGGTATGGTGAAAGTTTGCTCCCACCTCTGTAGAACGTCCTTCAGAGAAGAAGGTTTGCGGTTTCTTTAGGGTGTATAGCCTGACAGGTCTGTCTGATGCACAGCGAGAAATGCACAGCATCAAAACATACAAATAAGACAAAAATCCACTCTCAATTTGCCATCATTTATTATGACATAGATGGTCAAGATATTCTCCTCCCAGTGTTCAGAAATTTCATGTTGGTGACTAGCAAAGGAGAGTGTTGTAGAAGACAGATCACTATGCGAGTATGAATGAGAATAACTATCTGTCTCATTTTTCTCCTGCCCTTCTGCCAAGGAGCTTGAGGCAGTTTATATGGCATCCTTCACTGTATACTCATAATTAGTGTTCCCTCTAAGCTGAGTTAGTGTGAGCTAGCTCATGGGTTTTTAGCTTCCAGCTCACACATTTTTTTAGTCAAAAATGTTTTTATTTAGGATATAAACATTCATAATCAACATTAAATTTTTTACATTTGTCCCTTTCATACCCTACCCACCTCCCTTTTCCCCTCCCTAATATATGGCTTCCCACAGTGCTTCGACCTCCTGCCCATCTCTTTATTAATTTT